TAAGGGAAAACTACAGCAAAGGTAAAGTAGCAAGCCTAGAAGTTTGGTATCAGCTGGAATCTAGAGTCAAGGATAGGAGTGGATTTCTTTACTGGCCCCTGGGAAGTAGGCCAAAGGGATTCCCTGCAAAGGTGGACTGAAGCTGGTGACAGCACTGGCGTGATCATTGGCAGATGGCACTAGCCCAGTGAGTGAGCTGCAATGCAAGGAGAAGAATGTGGTGGTGAGTGGATTTTTAGTACAAGTTTAAAGACGTTGCCTACAATTAGAACTTTACATCTGTCCTGTCCCAATGGCGAGGTTTATATATAATGGCATCCTGATCTGAGTCACCTTGGGTTTGATTCACCAAAACAAACATGAGGTTTTGCCAAGCCCAAACCCAACTTGCTTCCCATGATAGAGACCTGATGAAATCTATGCCTCCCGCTCTTTAAGTCTACAGGAAGAATGTAGGAAGTCCGAATATAAACATGCTGGTTAGAATTTAGCCATGATCCTGGGGAGATCTCCTATATGTAATGAAAAAAGAGTCAGGAGGCTGACTTTAGGGTTTCAGAAACCTCAGGCAATGACATCATTATATCAAACTGTAGGCATTACATCATTACAACAAACTATCTTATTGGCCAGTCACAGCAGGGCACTGTGGCTAACTATTTGTGCAAGCAGTAGCCTCGTACACATTAATATTTTTGGAGCTACAAATATAGCACACTTTTGTACCATTTTGTACGCTGGCATCACTCCCTTAATTTTCGAGACACAGATGTTGCCTTCATGTTTTATTTTGATTTGCTAATCTTGTCACACCCTGGGACCTCAGTCAGATCCAAGATGGCAGTTTTCTTATTGTTTATGGAAAAATAAAATCCACCCTTGCGGTTGTTGTCTGTTCCAGATAATTTGCTTGGCCTTGCCTAATTTTCCATTCTGTGAAGCTTCTCTCTAGAGTTCAGCTGATTTTCCCCATTCATTTGCCTACAGATGTTTCTCTGCTGATCCCTCAACCCTCCCAGGGTTGACAGTCTCATCCTGAGAGAGTCTTCAGAACTTCTTTTTGATTCATGTAGTCATCTGTTACCCCACTGTTAATTTCACCAATCCTTTCTGATGTGCTTTTTGCATTGCTTCTTCCTCTCCTCCACCCTACACACAGGCATGCATACATATGTGCATATACAATTTTCAGATGTTGTGTTGCATCCGCCAAGTCAGTGACATCTAGTTTTTCTGTACTTAAAACCTAAGTCTAATTTTGTTCCGGTTTGAGGAGACCTCATGATTCAGGGAAACTGTCCTTTCCTTTGCAGAGATCTGTGCCAGTGTAGCAGTTAGAATAGGAATTCGCTTCTGCTATAGGTCAGACTGTCACTTTCTTCGGGTGGTTTTTGGTTCCTTCCTCCTGTGTATGGCAAAGAAGGAGATTCTTGCTCATGCACAGGTTTGATGCAATGTTATGGTGTGAGAAGAAATATCCTGAAGAGCGTACAGGAGCAAAGTCCCAAACTCCAAATGCAGATAATAAAGAATGGAGCAGGTTTTCAAAGATAACAATTCCCCTGTTTGCCTTGAGGGATTAGCCAAAATTCATGGTTTAGTGGGATGCTTCTTTTAAGAGGAGAAATTGATTCCTACTGTGTTCACCGAAACAGGACTATATCTGTGAAATACCTGACCCCAGAATCAAAAAGCAGGACATAGTGGCTACGTCTACACTGGCCCCTTTTCCGAAAGGGGCATGCTAATTTGACAGGTCGTAATAGGGAAATCCGCGGGGGATTTGAATATCCCCCGCGGCATTTAAATAAAAATGTCCGCCGCTTTTTTCCGGCTTTTCTACTTTGAAGTAAGAATAAGAGATCCTCCAGAAAAGGGCTTTTTTCCGGAGGATCGTGGCCAGTGTAGACGCTCTTTTCCGACTTTTCTAAAAGCCGGAAAAAAGCGGCGGACATTTTTATTTAAATGCCGCGGGGGATATTTAAATCCCCCACGGATTTCCCTATTACGACCTGTCAAATTAGCATGCCCCTTTCGGAAAAGGGGCCAGTGTAGACGTAGCCAGTCTCTTTACTCACAGTTCCAAGCCCTCTTCCAGTTAGTGCTAGATCTCTCTTTAGGCTTCTCTTAGAGCCACACTCCAACTTCTTGTTCTTGGTCTGCTGCTGCTTTGTTGTGAGCTCTTCTTGAGTTTCTCCTGATTCTGTGACAGTTACAGAAACACAGATCTGCCAAACAATACCCACCAAACTCCCTCTGCCCACGTGTACCTCTCCTCTGGGTGAAGACACATACCTGTGTTCTATAATATCTAGTTCCATAAAAAAGCGTACTTGTTTCTTATGTTTGTCATTTAGGAAGAATAGCTGTTACCCCCTCCAATTGCAGTGAGGTTTAACCTAACCACGAACAACAATACGATATGAAAGAAGTGTGGATTTGACCACCTAAGTTGCTATTTGGCTCAATTCCTCTTTAAATTCCCCTTGTCCAATTGAATCTTGCATTATGCTGAGGAAAGAATGCACATGGGCATCTTACTACAAGAGTATCCTGCCCTCCCTGAAATGCAGTAGCTATTACATGGGAGCCTAGTCATTATCTGACTTCAGGCTGAAGATAGACTTGTCAGTTGATGCACTAAGATTATTGGATGTTGGCTAGATCTCATTAGCATCCTATATTTGAGGGAAAGGGAAATACCATAATAGCCATATAGCACAATTGAATTCACCCAGAGCCTAAAGTCTGGCAATGTAAAAATGGTGAAAACATCCATCTTATTCAACAAGCTAGATGGTGCTCCATAATGTCCTTTAGACAGACCTCCTTAAAAGTGCCTATAACTGATTGTCCTCCAGCAATATTGTTCTGTATCCTTCTCTAATTAGATCTCTGTAGTCACTCAGACTGGTCAAATTAAAACCGAGCCGAAGGTATCTAAACCTATAAACAGCTGTGTCTAAGTTAACTAGAAATCTCATCTGATGGCTCATATAGACCTACAGGCTGACCAGATTTCCTTAGAATGGTTCACATTATCTAGTGCATTATATTGTACATCTCATGCTATTATACATCAGCATACTTGTTATTTTCTTGTTTGGCTTGGTTGTGTGGTAGTGTCATGTATGTGGGTATTTTGGCTTGCACTGAGGAAGCCCTGTTGTGCAGTTGGAGGACTTTTTCTGTTATAGAAATATTGCTTTTTTGCTCTGGCTTGGGTGTGGAAGGAGGTTTTGAATCTTCTGAAGAAAAAGCCATCACTAATGTGTTGGGTTTGGATAGCAGGTTATTGAGATCTAGATGCCCTTTCTCTTTTGTAATTAAAAGCACCACTTGACCTAGCAATGGGCAACTTAGGCTAGTGAGTGGGCCACAAGAGAGGCCCTCCTTGATCTCATTTTAGTCATGATATGCCTCGAGTGTTGGCAAAGGCTGAACTCAGTGTGTTCCTATCTCTCCTGCATACTAGCACAAAGAGTAAGAAAGGGTGTGTATCATGGCCCCTTCCTGCCCCTCTATTTTTAGTTCCACTGTGCAGCTCAAAGGAGCCAGTGTCTTTGTGGCTCTGGGGATTAATACTGCAAACAGATACTCCCTGCCTGCTGGTGTAGAAGGGCTTGAGCTCTGCTTGTAGAGAAATCTGTTTCTGCATCACATAAATGGCGCCATTTGGACATAGTGGTGAATGTATCCTAGAACATCTTCTGAAGGAGTAGGGCCTACAGCCAGCTGGGAAAGTAGAAGGGAGTGGATTCAGGAGTGCAAGAGATGAGTTAGTGTGGGAGGGAGCAGAGTCAATATGGGCGAACGGAGAGAAGCCAGCATGGATATCGAGTGGCAATAAAGCATGGAAGATTGCAGAGCAATCCTGGACTTGGTCCCTTGTAATCCAGATTTCAAACTTATTTTTGCCAACTCCAAAAGTTTGGCTTGCTTGAATGGAATGCCCATAAGGGAAATGAACGTGGCTGCACAAGGGGCACACATAAGCAGCGTTTGCCCCCTTGAACGTTAGCCTGGATATATTCCCTAGAGCAGACCAAATGAGGGAAGTAGGGACTGGCAAGCCTGGAGAGCTCAGGCCTGCGTCCTGAGCTATGAGGGCGAAGCTGTGCTGCTTCGTGTGCTGGGATGCCTTGTGACACGAACCTGCCCGTGTCCAGCAGAGTTGAATTAACTTTTAATTGGGGAAAACAACTAGTGCTACAGTACAGAAGACGGTTTCAAAAAATGAAACATTTTGGCTGTTTTTTAGTCCCCGTGGATTCCAGGCAACAATACGTTCCAGTGGCCTGACATAGAATGCAGTTGGTTTGGAATCATGCAAGGAAGCAGTTCCACAGCCTTGGATTATTTTTACTGCTTTATCTGCATTTTAAATAAAGCCAAATGGTTCTGTGCTGAAATCATGTAGTCAATCCAGAGCCTCAGATGAGACCCTAATTGTGAAATAGAGCTAAATTATAAACCTCTTTAAAAACAAACAAACAAAAAACCACTTGCATGGAATGACAGACATGTGTAAATGCATGCAAAGGCTTAACTCCAGGATTGCAACTGGCACTGTCCAAGTTTGTGGAAATATAGCTCTCAGGAAACATCTGAGACCTTTCTTGTCTTATCTCCTGTGCTAATAAATGATTAAGCTACATGCACACTGTAGTTAAGATGGATTTCCAACTTGCATTTTGCTCCCCCCTTCTCCTGTTCTATTTTAATTTTCTAAGATACTTTCTCCTCAGAAGATAAGGCCAGACATGAATGTCTTTTGTTTCTGAAATGAGCAAAGTAAGTTCAGCCTCTTTTGGTTTCTCCAGGAGTACAAATGTAACACAAATAAGCAAGTAACCAACAATTTATCCAGCTGTTCCTCATCAGAAATGTTATGTTGTCATAATTCAGAACTGTCTCAGCAGATTTTATTCAAATTTGGCTTGCTTTCTAGAGTCACTGAGATCTAAGGAACAAGCCAGATTTCAAGAAAATTAACTTACCTTGAAACACATAAATCCGATCCAGGTCCCCTCAGATCACGAGGAGAGGCAGCAGGGACTCTGACCCTCAGGATCTAAGAGTATAAACAAAAGAGAGTACAATTTTTCCTCACTTTCAGTGATCCCTGAAGCTAAAGTACATTTCAGGAGCAGCAAGGTCTCCTTTCATGATCTGTTATGTGTGGGGCACCCTATAATTTCCATCCCATAATGTGTGTAAGCAGGGTCTGAATGACTACTTGCAATGCAGCCAGCTGAAAGGGGAGAGCAGTCCTAGGTGTGGTTATGCTTATTCAGTTGTTTAGCTCTGCAAGGTATTCAACTATTGATATGTAAATACAGATCATGCTGGAATGGGAAAGGAATCCAGGGGGTGGTTATGTAAATCCAGTTCAGACAGTGCTATTCGCCTGGTGGATGGTCAATTGTTAGAATGGAATTTTGTGTATTGTAACTAATTTGGATATTGTGGGGTCATAGGCCATGTTGGCCCTAGATGTAGGAGTTGTAAAATGTGACCACCAGTGCTTGCAGGAGGGACACAGTCATTGTGAAGACTCTCAGGGTACGTCTAGACTACATGCCTCCGTCGACGGAGGCATGTAGTCTAGACGTACCCTGAGAGTCTTCACAATGACTGTGTCCCTCCTGCAAGCACTGGTGGTCACATTTTACAACTCCTACATCTAGGGCCAACATGGCCTATGACCCCACAATATCCAAATTAGTTACAATACACAAAATTCCATTCTAACAATTGACCATCCACTAGGCGAATAGCACTGTCTGAACTGGATTTACATAACCACCCCCTGGATTCCTTTCCCATTCCAGCATGATCTGTATTTACATATCAATAGTTGAATACCTTGCAGAGCTAAACAACTGAATAAGCATAACCACACCTAGGACTGCTCTCCCCTTTCAGCTGGCTGCATTGCAAGTACAAGCCTTACCCTTCCAGACTCAAGTGGATTGGGGAGGAGGAGGAAAGAGCTTGAACCAGCAGGCTACATGCCCTCCAGGGATGAGCTGTAAGACTGGTTCAACCTGTCTCTTCTCCCGTCCCCACCCCACCACATTCTAAGGATAGACTCTTTGTTATTTTGAAATATTATTCCAGTGGGAGCTGGAATCTTTTGGCCAGCCTAGGTGGTGGGCCAAGAGCTTAATAGAACCATTTCCAAACAGTACTACGAAACTCGTTTGAAGTACATTATTTTGAGGCAGTGAAGGCTCCTTGTGTTAAAAATGTCATTCAAAAATATACACTAGTCATTAAAAAATATGCTCTCATAGCCTCCCAAGGGAACATGATACTGAAACAACGTATTTTCATAATAAATGAGGAAAATGATTTTATAAACTAAGTTAAAACCCCTTGAAACGGATGACTGCAAGAGCTGCCCTTCATTTTGAGTTAACCCTACACAAAAACACTTCAATTTTATAAAGGTAATTCTTGTCCCATACTTCAGTAGCTGACTCTGCCATGAAGAGCTTATGGTCTGAGTAGAAAAGACAAATAGGTGGAGGGGGATAGGGTAACCTGGGAGTTTGTGGGCCCCAGACATGTGTTTGGACCACACTGCCATCCCAGATGCTTTTCCAAATATCTGACCCAGGGTTCCATGTGGGGCCATCTCTTTAAAGAAAATAAATCCATCTTAAAGTGCCAGTTCATAGTGCTTTTGCTTATGTTGTCCTGCTGTGTTGAAATCCTTTCCTGCATGAGATTTGCTTGGTGTGTCATGCAGGTGCATGTGGGGAGCCAGCTTAAAAGCCACTGCCTGCTCTCCCTTCCCCCGAACGTGTAACTGTTGAAATTTTCAGTGGTTACACAGTTAGTTAAATGTATTTTAACATCCCTAGTAAAAATGTCATTGTATGAAATCTGAATCTGTACTGACTTTGTTGGTGCTTTTTATGTAGCCTGTTGTAAAACTTGGCAAATATGTGGATGAATTGATGAATCCCTTGGGCCTCTGCGCACCCCTAGGGGCGTGGTTCCCCTGCTTAAGAACCATGGGTGTAGACAAGCCCCCAGTGTCTTATCTTGTAGACAAGTGCCCACCTCACACATTCACACTGCAGCTTAATCACAAAGAGACTTAAGACTGACGAGGCTATGGAGAATGATTATTACAGATTGGTGTGGGTGCAGCCCCAGCTGCAGTTGGTCTCTGGAAAACTAGGAGACTTCTCTAGCACGACGTTCATTTGTTTTCCTTCCATTTAAAAAAAAATCAGGCTGCTGTTTTGCTGGGGGAGGTTAGAGAGAGTCTGGTGTTGATGCTAGACTTGGATGGCTTAATGGAACGTTATCACTTTCCCCCACTTTCTAAAAACAACAAGTTGCCAGCTCTTGTTCTAAGGCTCTAACCAGACGGCAGATTGCACGAACAGCATCTTCTTTTTTTTTCCCCTGCTCTTCCCTTTGTGTAGCAGCTCTAGTGCCATGAGCAGCTCTGACTGAAATTAACACTTTCCAGCCAACATCCTTTTACTCTGACAGAATCAGATAGCACTAGTTGGATGATGCTCTGCTCCTGTATCTGAGCACCACCTCCTACATGCACTATCCTCAAAAGTTCTTCAGTGTTTCTCCAACAGGACGTCCCATGTGGCACAGCAGCTTATAGAAAACTGCTCTACTGCAGGAGGAGGCTGCTTTTCCTGGATTTCATTTCCTATACGCCCCCATGTTGCTTTTGTACGGCAATTTGTATCGTCAACGTGGACCTTTTGTGTAGTAGAGCTTTACACCCACTCTTCCTATGGTAACAGCCTGACTTCACTGGCTGGGAATTAGACTACTGTCCTGTCTCCTAAGTCTAGCAGGCATTTAAGGGAACTCCCTGAATTACTGCACCAGTGAGCAATACTACTTGTGCTTTGTGTGCAGTAGAAATGGAGGGTGAGAGAATGCATGTGTATAAGCAGGGGCAGAAGAATATCAGACTGATGGGCACGGATGCAAACCCCTCACTGTCATAGTGCTCGACAACCATCTGGAAACCCTACGGGTAAGCTGGGTGGTCGCCCGGGGCCGCCAATTGGTTAGGATCGGCCCTGCACTTCAGAATATTGGGATCAGTGCTGCAAGTAATGTTATTACAGCAGTATGGGAAAATACTGTCTTGTGTTTTTAAAATAAGGAATGACAGATTAATTGGATCAACTGCCATTAATGAAACATTCCTGAAGAGACTTCGTTTTCCCTCATAAAGTATGTCCTGCTGTGATTCCTCTTTTTTTTTTCCAAGTGAAGTTTTGTAAAACACTTTTCTGAGCAGTCACGACAAAATTAAAAATTTATGGGCCAAGTTCTCTGTTTCTACTCTTATAGCTTGCAACTAGAAAACGCAATGGGGTTGCATTGGAGTCCCTGAACACAGAATATGGACCCTCAGGAGGCACTGGGGAGTAATTACTCTGAATGGCCCTGGGGAGTAGCTATTTTGAAAGAGCAGCAGTGGAGTGTCCACACAACTGCTTTTCCAAAGTCGCTATTTCAGGAGAGGCGTTATTCCTTGTGGAATGAGGTTTGCAGAACTCGGAATAAGCTGTTAGTTATTTTGCATTTATTTTGAAATAACAGAATTGCTGTGTAGGCGCTCACATTGTTATTTTGGAATAACAGCCATTGTTCCGAAATAACGCTGCTGTATAGACGCATCCTTAGTCAGCAGCTGTCACACTCTGGCCACCCAGTTCTGAAAGCAGCAGTGCAGAAGTAAGGGGGCCATGGGCATGGTATTGCCACCCTTACTTTTGCATTGTTGCTGCGGGTGGAGTGCTGCCTACAGAGCTGGGCACCCGGCCGACATTACCATCACCACTCTTTAGCTGCTCAGCTCTAAAGGCAGCATAGAAGTGAGGGTGGTGCTTCCATTACCCTCCTAAAATAACCTTGTGACTTCCCCTGCAACTGTCTTTTGGGTCGGGACTCCAGTGTGAGAAGCGTCGGTCTCCCCCGTGAAATCTGCACACAGTCAGATTTCACAGGAGGACACAAGATTTCATGGTTTGTGCCGTGTTTTGCATGGCTGTGAATTTGGTAGGGCCTTAGCTATAGGTAATTAGTTCAAATCCAGCCCAGTTTGTCAGAGAAAAATCTGTGTAGTCTGAAGACATTTTGCCTGTGGGAGCTCAGGCCAGGTCCAATATCTACATAGTGTCAGGTGCTGGGGTGTTTTTTTTTTTTTTTCCGGTCTCCACTGCAAGGCAGATCGAATGAGTAAGGAGACTGAACAGTTCTCATCCTAATGCTAGCCCCTACTGGTCAGGGCTGGAGGAGTTGAGCGGCTGCTGCCCATACTGTTTTGCTTCTGTAGCTGAATGAAGTCTCCAGGGCTTTGAAAGCAGCACTAAAAGTACCTTTATAAAGGAACATGCATTCTGAGCATTTCAATGTCCCGGTGTGAAATCCTGGCCACAAAAACTTCAGTGGGGAAACTCCTGCTGATTTCAGAAGGGTCAGGATTTTGCCACAGGTCTGCAGGAGATTAGGGCGAGAAATGCAGTAGTGTATTTGTTACATTGGGTCAGAGCACTGGTCAATCAATATTGGATCCTACCTCAGGCAGTGGCTGTTGAACAGCTATTTAATGGGAAACGTTACCGTTTGGGTATAAATCTGAAGCCTTTTGAAAGGGTTTTGCATATTATTTGAATTGCTCTCCAGGTTGAATGGTGTCTCTCATCATTTACCAGCATGAGTCATTTACTGTAATTAAGAAGGCACCATTTGCATGCAGTCTGTAACACTGCTCTGATCTCAGCAGCCACCTGCGTATGAGCTCAGGTAGTTCTAAAGTTCTACATAAAACCCTGCTGTGATGCCTGCCCTGACTACTTGCAGACTAGAACCACAGTGTGGCTTGCTCTCAGGCTGGAATGGAGAGCCCAGCTGCATTACATCACATATTGGTGATTCAAGTGAGTGGCACTGCGGTTCTCTTTCATTCCCCTCATCTCTCTAGACCAAAGTTAATTTCTATTACAGCCCTGGATTGACTGGGTAGCTTATGGAAAGAAACAGCTATTCAGTGGGTGATACATGGTGCCTGCATAATATAACCTAAAGTAGATGAAAATGAATTCCAGTTCTGTAGTCGGGAGATCAGAAGGGGTGAGATTTGATCAACTCCTTCTCCTTTTTCATCAGTG